TTCAGAATTCATGAATCATGTGATATTAATGAATCCGTGCGCTGGTATCATAGATTCAATGGTATCGATAGATAGATTTCTCTCATAATCAGAGAGATTTAAACGACTAGAACGTTTATGCTCGTAGTCTTTATCGGCGGATCTCTTAAATTCAAGAAGCGAAGCGCCGGCGCGTTACTCGGCAATGCGAATTCGCGGGACAACAGTGTCGTTAAAGTTAATTTTCGAGCTTCCGCCACCGACGCGCAGTGGCGCTCGAGCGAATAAAAGCGGAATCTCTCTTCACCCCCCCCCCCTTTGAAAATGCATATCTATGAGAAATGTCGAGATACATTGGTACAGTCTCGAATGGCGAGTTAATGAGAGGTCGTGGAAAAAGTCTCACTTCAGAATAGTATAATTATTTTAATCGCTTTATTGCTTGAAATAGCGCTTGATGAGGCTAGATGAGGCCAGTCTTCGAATGCCAGTCATAAAGCTTACTCCTTCAAGCACCACCGCGCAATGCTCTGCTCTATCAACAGTGACGAGGAAGACGCGAATAACGGTATCATTTGCGCGCGCGAGTTCCGGTTACGATCCTTCGAGAGCCGGAGGCTCCTCAGGAGACCACGTTTCATTCTAGCAGGAAGTCACGCCGCCGGAAATCGTGTCGCGAAGTAACGTTACCGAATCGTGCCGGAAACGACGAAGAAAGAGACAGAGGAAAGTAGTAGGACAGACGGACGTGGTATAATTGAAGATTATTTTGTTTTACTTCTTAATCACATATAAGTATGCGTAAGAAACATCACGTTACTTCTCTGGATGTTATTAATGTCCGTCTGTCGTGAGAAAATTCTTCCTGACGTTAGTTGCTGGTCTAATTAAATCAAATTGGCGTCTGGATGAGAAATTAATCGATAGCAAATTTATACACGTTATTTTTGCCTCGCCGATTCCTTCTCTGAATATAGGTTGTACGATCAAGTCGTTTTAATCTCCTGGGGATTTTTATATTCGACATCAAATGTATCAGCGTTCAAGCGTTAAACTGAATTTTCGCAAATTTAATTTAACGTTTGGACGTGGACATATTTAACACCCACGCTATATTATTGACTTGTTACATACAGTTAAAAATCCAACTTTTTTTTTTGTTCGTGCTTAAATAAAAGCTAAATTTTGTCAGATTTATTTATTTTTCATTATTATAATTATGAAAAATAAATTACAATTTTTTTAACACAAAAATGGATATAACTCGAAAACAACTCATTTCCGAATCTATATTTATATAGCTTTTTTTTTCTTCCTTTTGAGTCCCGAATCACTTCAAGAAATAAATAATGCGGACGAGTTTCCGGACACCCTGTATAACGAGACTTCGTGAAAACGAAGAGACTCCTCCACCTTCGGAATGAGAACTAACGAGTACCGATAGCAGGACAACTTTGTTGCAATTATCATGTCTTAGATTAAATGATGGACCCAATTGGATCGCGCAGGCATAACGTCGACATAACGCGATCTCTAACAAGAGTTCGCTCTCTCTCATCCGGAGCTCCCTATATTGCGGTAAACGTCAGTTTTCTTGTCGGTGAGATCGGCAATGAAAGTCGAGCGGACTAGCCGGCCCTTCCTACGCGTAACGGCTTTATAGTGATCGACTATTCCTGGACTTAGGTCGGCTCGTGAATCAACTTTGTGGCTGAAAATATAATACATCTACGCGCGCGTCCAAGCGGAAGTTGCGTTCATACACCGACGTGTAGGTGTCTAACGAAGAATAGTAATATATTTTACCGAGACAGATTTGAATTTCAAAAGAAAACGATTCGTGAATGGATGGTTTACAAATTTTTACATTTCACAATTTACTTTATGTCTCTAGTAATATAAGTGATTTTCGAAAATCTGCGCACTTCATCAAAGAACCATATAGTCGAGCATTCTGTTTTCTGTAGACTTATACGGAATCTTGGTAACTTGGAAAAAATTTAAAACCTTGCATATATAAAATTTTAAATTTTTTTCCTCGAGCGATCGTTTATTGATTCAATTGCAAGGTGGGGGCGGAAGGAGAGATTGAGCAATCAGACGTTGACGTCATCTCGGTGACCTCATCCGTGTTTGCAATGCACGTGTCGTGAAGTCGTATTTGTGAGCAGAAACATAATCATAGAAGCGGTGCTTTAACCCTCGCCAGCGTTCTCACACCTGGCTTGTCCGCGATGTTCGAGTGCAACGGCGCTCGAATAATAATATATTGAAAGGCAATTTCGATGAAAACAGTTGATTAAGAATGCAAGCCGGGAAAGTTGGCAGGGCTTAACATTCACGTCAATATTCGCGATATTCTCTCTATCGGATAAAAATAAACGACATGACGAGCATCTGGCAGCGCGGCAAACATTCGGATAAACGTTTCTGATCGAGAAAGATGGCAGTCGATGATGTAATTCACGGATCGTTTCGTACGACGTAAGCCTGTCGTATTCATCGTAACTATAATCGTCCCGAAAAGTTGCGTCACTTTACCACCGTAAAACGCCAAATTCCCAGAAGGACAAACTCTCGTCGTTTTCACATAACAATTTTTTTCTGATATCGCGCATAAAATATTAAGACATTATTTATAAAGTTATATATAAGAAAGTTGTATCACGAGTGCCAAAGGGGATAGATAAATTTGGAACGAATAAATTCTCTATCTTGAGAAAGATTCCAAGCGGAGGGCGGTTGAAATTTTCCAAAGTTGTTTGGAACTTTTGTTTTATTTTCTCTTTTCACTTTTCTTGCGTTTAATTGTCTTCGCGCAGATGTTGAATGTAAGAAAAAAAA